CTTCATAAGTGAAAATAAAAGGCATTTTCTTGCTTTTGTGATTGACATTACAACCCTAAATGCAATCCTCTCTCAAAATACACCATTTTGACACATAAATAAAGAAAGACTCATTCTTTTCTCGTTTTGAAGTAAAAAGAAACATATTTGTGAATACTGATTCATTCATTATTTTCAATATAATTTTTCCCTTTCTTATTGAAAACATACATGGTGCATCCTGGAATATCTACAGATAAAACAGTTTTTTTTTTCTCCTGCTTCCGAGTCTGAATGGAAATGCATGGCTCGGCCTGTATTCATTAGCGGTTGAGGCTTCTGTCCTGGTTGGAGTTATTGATCCATGTGGTGTCCATCTCTGATAAAGAGCTGAAACCTTAAGACCTTAAACCTGTCTGTTACTAGACCAAAACAAACACACAGCCAGATGTTGTGCTGGAACACTTACTAAAACTTTTTTGCATAAAGGCATATGAAACCACAATCATCTCCAGGAAAGGGCATCAGTCAATATCAATATTTAATAAATAAATGAGTGATCTTATGAATCTCAACATAATAGTAGTGCGGAGGCGGTCAATCAATCCGATGATCCCTCATTCCAGCAGCATCTGCCAATCACAGCCAGAGCTAATAGCATTACCTTTTTGTCAGAGTGGACCATCGACCCGCTTCCTGCCTTTAAGTGGCCTGATCTGATAAAAAGCATTAAAACATTTGTACTGTGACACACACCAGCTCACTGTCCGCCTCCGCACTGGATCTATCCTTCTGATGCGCCTGGTTGTGCCATATAAAAACTCTGAATACAGTTTGCAAAAAGATCTTCTATCTTGGTAAATATGATATTTGATGCTCCAATTAAACTTTTCGAGTAAAAAAAAAAAAAAAAACCTCTCAATCGTGGTGCCTTAAAAGGATAGTTCACCCAGAAATCATCATTTTTGTCATCATTTACTCACCCTCAAGTTGTTCCAAACTTGTATGAATTTCTTTCTTCTGCTGAACACAAGAGAAGATATTTTGAAGAAAGCTGATAGAAGTCAATGGGGTCCATCAACTGTTTGGTTCTTCAAAATATCTTCTTTTGTGTTCAGCAGAAGAAATACATTTAAATTTTTGTGTGAACAATAGCATAACACAACTGTAAGGAGAGCATCAAACAGAACTGTAAACTAAGCTATAACCATTATTAATGGTCAGCAACAACAATTAACGGTTCTTATTAGTCAGAATCTTGCCCAGGACACCACAATTAAATATTCATGAGCTTATGGCCACGCCCCTCAAACACAATGCACAGGCAGACCTCCTTTTTCACATTTTTTTTTGACCTCCTTTTTCACATTTCCTTTAATTAAATGAAAGGTTTGTTCAAATCACAGTGTGCATACATTAAAGCTGTTTATTTATGTATTTTTTTCCAGAATTTATTTTATTAAGCCCCCTTTTTCTTTTCAAAAACAGTAAAACACAGTAAACAACAACATGTATTTTGAGATTATGTTCACAAAGCAATTATCATTATTATTATTTAAATGATTATACTTTATACTTGTTCAGGATTCATGGAAACCTCATTTCAATAAAGGGAAGATGAAAATAAAAGAAAGTGTGAGTTTGAGTCTTTGGAGCAGGAGGTAAATGACACTCTGATTATGCTCATGGGTTTATTTCTGTCCGCTCGTTCGCCAAACCATTAGCGTATTACAGTTCTAATCGGTATATTGATCTCGTTTTGGCTCCATCTGCACTCGCTCTCATTTCACACACCGTGTTGGAGCCTCAGAGTGTAATGCGGTTCTCTCTCTTCTGACCTTTCTGAAGGTCAACAGCATTTGTTTGTGCACATTTGCAGATATCACCAATAAAGAATAACAGCATGTTTCAGCAATAATTTGGGGATGATATAATTGATCAATTTCTCCTGCAGAGTTTGGAAACTTGGAACAGTAATGAGTGGACTGCACTATATTCCTACAAAAACACAAAGCTTGGATGTAATTCTCACATGACCTTCGTTTCCATACTGGAACAGGCAAACAAACATGTCTTTTAAAAGCAGAGTTCAGGCCCCTCAACAAAAGTACAGTTTAAACTTGTCCAAAAATTATTTTTATTTATTTTTTACTTTGCAATGAACAGTTCTCAAGTTTTCAATCAATAGTTAGTGCAATCTTATTAGTGCAATATTTATAATATTTGACTACATAATTGTTCAGTTTTGTATTGGACTCGTATGTCATATTGTTTGTGTTTGTTTTATAATTTCTTTGGCACCAAGGGAAGCATTTCCTAATTTCATTGTATGCGAGTAATGACAATAAAGGCGTACTACTCTATTTCTATTCTGACATGTTCAGCATGGACAAATGTGTGGAGTGTTTTTGTTTTTTGTTTTTTTGCATGTCACCCCAAAAAAACCGGAGACCTTACATGCAGAATAAGAAATGTCTTTCTTATATGCAGGTTTATATGCAGACTTACTGACTATTTTAAAATATATTTTTATATAGAATATAAAATTCTAAAATATATAGTATAATTTCAAATTAATATCAATCCTAGTCCAGAACAGTGTAGTATTATTTGTATACTATTATATATATATATATATATATATATATATATATATATATATATATATATATATATATATATATATATATATATATTAGATTTAATTTTTAGCCATTTTATTATGTGCATATGTAATTTTTATTCGTTTTTTAAAAAATATATTACTATTTAGGTTACATTTATTTTTTATTTCAGTTTTAGTTTTTATTTGTTTTTATAAGTTTTTCATCTAATATTTTGTTTCAGCTTTATTTCAATTAAAAAGTTTTCAATAGTTTTAGTTATTGATATTTAGTTATTGATATCCAGTTTTAGTTAATAATATCCCTGGTCTGGATTCTCTCTACTCACTGCTGAATGTTCATAGTTCTGAGGGCGAGAAGAACTGAACTGACATGATAAAATCCACAAAACATGATTAATAAAGTCCAAGCACCCTCACAGCACATAAAGCAGATCTGTATTAAGAACTGGAAAGCACGGGTGTTCTTAGTTAATCACAGTCTTGTGGTGTATGGGTTTGGGGATTGAGGTTTCATCTGTCGTTTTTAAGAGCATCAAAACACACGCTTAGGTGAAATGGACTGCAATCCATCTACAGCCTCCAACAAGCCACTGAACATTTCCAGCTTCCTGTGATCTAGCCGTGTATCGATCTCTTGAGTCTGAATGATGGACTTAATGTGCAGAGGGGCAGGTTGCCTGTAAACTGGTCTTAGTACTCAGATTAGACTGATCAGGACTGGAAACAACTGCATCACAGCACAAAAAACAGCTAGTGAATGTGTAAGAGTGGACTCTTTAAATGCACTGAGCACTAAATGTGCTATATAAAGTAAAGACAATTATTAGTATTATTACTTTTATTACTGGTTGCTGCTGGCTGGTCATGTGATCCCACCATGGATTGCAGTACATTTTATTTGACATGTTCGGTTTAGAAAAGACAGAACCAACAAGGAATATGTCTTTATTTCCACTCAAGCAATTGAAAGGAAAGCTCTCTCTTCAGCTGGGGGTGTATTCCGGAAAGCAAGTTTAACTTACCATCACATATACCGTGAACTCTCGGTTGTTTAACCCAGACCGTTGCTACCTCGAGGAATGCAAAACCGCAATCTGATGCTAACTTAACCATTCTGCCATGAACACAAAACAAACTCATCTTGTGTTTTTGTTTCAGTTAACAGGACAAATCAGTCCGCTTTTAACTGACACCATCCTTAACATATAGCTTTATCACACATAATCCAAAACATGCTGATCATCGTAAGTATATTTATTTATTAACACCACAGCATTAATTTTGCTCTAAAGTGACATCTTGTGGCTACAAGCATACATAATTCATAGGGATACACCAGATCATACTAAAATGCTCTAACACAAGTTTCTAATCATAAGAATGACTTTGTCAAGATGATAGATAGATAGATAGATAGATAGATAGATAGATAGATAGATAGATAGATAGATAGATAGATAGATAGATAGATAGATAGATAGATAGATAGATAGATAGATAGATAGATAGATAGATAGATAGATAGATAGATAGATAGATAAATGTCAGTAAAATCTCTTACTTCTTTAATCCTTGTCTGTCTTCGCTCTGAGAGTCGGGCCTGCCTCCACTTCCCAATGTCCGTTTACATTTGATGTCCTCAGTTTTAGGAGTAATCTCACTCATGGGAAAATAATCACTCTAGCAATGAGAGCAGAGAATCGAGTCCTCTTATACACAGTTTTGACCCTCGAAATAAAAGGAAGAAGAATATATCTGTCAGTGCGACTAAACGGTATGTGCAGCCAACCACTTCCTCATGTGTGAGTTTTAGTGCACAAGATGGAAAACAGGAACTATGAGTGGAAGGAAGCTACATGAAGTTGCATACAATTTGCATCATTCCATTTTAGAGAAACAACCAGATTTATGTACATACAACTCCACCCATGTCACTGCATGAAGACTAAAGCAGGTCTACGTCCTTTCACAGTATGAATGATCTTAAGGAAGCATGACAGGTCACATGACACATCTGGAGTCATACAGTACCATGGACAGCACCAACACTTGCAGACAGACAGACAGACAGATAGGCAGGCAGACAGGCAGGCAGAAAGACAGACAGGCAGGCAGGCAGGGATAGATAGATAGATAGATAGATAGATAGATAGATAGATAGATAGATAGATAGATAGATAGATAGATAGATAGATAGATAGATAGATAGATAGATAGATAGATAGATAGATAGATAGATAGATAGATAGACACCAGTATATCTATATTCATAATTGGGCCATGTCATTAGTAGACTAATTGATTGATGCTAGAAAATGAAAAGGTCAATGAAAGAGCAAAACTGTGACAGTTTCACATAACATCAGAGGAGCTTGTGTGGTTATGATAATATTTCATTTACCAGGACCCTGTAAGATAATGGTATAGTCCATCTGTGCACCCCTCCACACTGAGCTCATATGAAACTCCTCATCCTGCAGTGACTGCTGGGAAGACATACGGACGAGGGAGGAAGCAAACTGAAGAGGTAAGAATTGCAATATTCGTCACAGGCAAATAGATATTGTTATTAAAATACATGAAAATGTGTAGATTTTTTTAGGTATTGTTTGTTAAAGTTTGAAAATGTCAGAAAGAGAATACAGTCCTCAGCATGAACAAGGAAACATGGAGCAACAGCTAGAGGGAGCTATAACAGGACAGACAGCAGCTGAGTGAAGCTGATGTGATGAAGCCCCTTTAAAATACTGACGTAGCTTGAAAAAACAAAGAGGGGATGCTTAAACAGAGCTGCAACAAACACCCAGCGCTCTCTAAAATAAAAAGCTTTGTATAAGAAAAATGTACCCAAAACACAGGAGAGATATTCGAACAAAATAATGATTTCAGTCCTAATTTTACAGTATTTTAACAATTTCTATGTTCTGTATATAAGCATGGTTATAATTCATGTGAATCATTCAAATTTTGAATTGTGTTTTTTAATGATTCAGATCAAAATTGTACATTAGGACTATATAAAACACCTCATGGTCTATATCATTATTTTAAATGAGTGTTTATCATTGTGCTTTATCTCAGCAAGCCTTAATCCCAGAAGACACTTCAGAGTAAAAGCCCATTGTAGCATAAGGTGATATTAAACACACATTTAAATATATATATATATATATAATCTGTAGTTATTTACTCACCCTCAAATCAATTCCAAATCTTCATTATGGTTTCTGCAGTTGTTGTTTTTTTTCCTGTGAAACACAAAATAATTTTAGAACTCTTCAGCTCTTCTCCATACAACAACAGCTCATAGTGACCACATCCATTCTACAAAAGGACCAAAAAAAGCTATATAAAAGTAGACCATAAGAAGTCCATATGTTTTATATGTTTTATGTGTTCCAGACAGGCTGTCAGTCTGTGCATTAGTGATGAAAAATTTCAGTGACTTATTTTGCAAGTTATATACACCAGTAGATGGCGACAAATGACTGTGAGTCACGAGTGAGTCAATGAATCCTTTATTCAAACGATTCATATTAAAAAAGCTTATTTAGCAACGAAAGAAGCGACTAGGTGTCTAGTTTACTATTATATTGTACTAATTAAATATTCGATTAGTTATCTCCAAAGCTCTCTCTATTTTGCTGTAGAACATTAAACCGTGACGTTGCCTCAGAAGTCTGTCCGAAATCAGTTCCGTAAGATACTTTCATGTACGAACACTGCCTGCAATGTCATTGACTGATAGGGCAGCCAGGCAACAGTAGTAAAGATAGTACAGATAGTAAAGTCTCCATTGAATGCACACTTCAGAATCTTGCCTGAAGAAGTAGCTCATCCGGGTACTTTTTGCCTACTCTTTTATGAGTATTCGGACATGCTGCTTTTGTCACATACTGTTAGGTAGGGAATAGTTGGGAAGTATGGGATTTCGGATGCAACCACTGTCTTTATGAGAGAGTCATGCAATCATTCATTCAGAGCCGGCCCTAGACCATTGGGGCCCCTAAGCAAAATTTGGTTGGAGGCCCCTTTGACTGTTTTAAGGCCTAAAGAAAAGCAATGACTACCTTATAACTATACCATACTATATAACTATATTATACTGTATATATGTTTGATGTCTAACAGGAAAATTGTGATACCACTGAGCTGAATGGCAGTGCAAGACACACACACACACACACACACACACACACACACTGATTAACTTGCTGAATAAAAAGACAGAAAAAGTGATTATCACTGAACAAAGATACATTTTTATTGACACCAGAGTTTAAGAGTCACAAACTACAGAACATATATATATATATATATATATATATATATATATATATATATATATATATATATATATATATATATATATATATATATATAAAATTTAAATTAAATAGAGCAAATAGAATAACATTTAAATATAATATTATATAAAATAATAAATAGATTTTTTAAATAAACAAAATTAACAATAACATCTAAAACACCACAAAGAAGATCAATAGTAACAATATTAAGAATAAGGTAACATTTCAATATAACTATTAAAATCCAATCCAAATAAAGAAAATAATTATACATAAAGTTAGACTTAATTTTTAAAATGCAGAAGGTTATCATTTTACAGCCCCTTTATACTCACCAACAGCTGGAGCTTTGCTTACTGGCAGCATATAACGTTACTTTAATAGTGCTCCTAAGGGGACATAAGGAGTAAACTAATGTTAGCCCTTTAGTGTAGAATCCAAACTGGGTTTATATTGTTCTGTTAAATGCTTTAACAGTAACACCACAGCAAATGGTATAGGCCTAATACTAAACCAATTTTATGCAGCATGCTATTAGCATGTAAGTTAAACAACTGTAGAAAATTAATACAAGCACGATTTAGGCTAATGTTAAGACTTTTAGTGCAGATTATCCATATTACAGAAATCGGAAAATTAAGCCTACAGGCTTACGTACCTTTATCTTCTTGCTTCTTCTCTTCTTCCCGGCTCTTTTTTGTCGTTTTTCTTGGCCAGAAAGATATTTTCGTTTCTTGTCAGACATCGTCGATTCGTCGGAGTCGCCAACTGACTGACCAAGTGACAACGAGTGACATCATAGGGGGGCAGTCGGGATCAAGACGCGCGCGCGCCTTCGCGGGGAGCTCCCGGTTGATTTGCCATAATACAGAACTAAATAAATAACAACTCTGTGCTTATCATGATGCCTGATAAAGAGCGCTGTAGGTCCATTTCTTTTTATTTATTTATTTTATGTTACTTTCGTTGTGCGATTTTTTCCCCCCACTAGCTAGCAGTGACTCTAGGGGGCCCTCTGCGGGCCACGGGGCCCTTTGCAATTGCAACGGTCGCTTAGTGGCTCGGCCGGCTCTGCTTCATTCAACCGATTCATTCAAAAATGCTTATTCATTTAAGAACGGAACAAGCGAGTCTTTTTATGAGTCATTGAATCATTAATTTAACTGTTATGTTCAAAAACGCTGATTCATCCGGGAAGGAAACAAGTACTGCATGCATGGAGTTGTCAGCAGCCTCGCGGTTATTTGGGATCGAAAAGTGTGTGTGGGGAACAGAAAATGTTATATATTGTTTATATGGACAACTTTTAACAATTTTGGAAGAGACTTCACTCAGCTGCTTTCTATACAAGTTTATTGTGATCATGAGCTTGTTCTAGAAAGGAGCAGTGTAAAGATTCAAACTAAATATTGTGTGTCTTTGTATAACCAGTTTCTTCTTCAGGTAAAGGGCTCTTCCTTCAGACTCAATGGCTGAGATCTTCGAGGACCCAGAGAAGCTGAAGAGGGGCCTTGTGAAGGTTCTCGAATGTGTGGCCACCATCTCGTCAGCAGCAGCGGTGGTCAATCCCATCTTCGGCGTGGCCGGCTCTCTCATCCGGGTGGTGCTGCACCATGTGGACGATGAAGACATTCAGAAACTCAGACGGGAGTTCGGCAGCGTGAATCGAGCCCTGGATGAAATTTCACAACAGAATCAGAATGTATTACTTCAGATCAGGAAGGAGACGGTGGATGGTCTGTACTGTCGTCTAGAAGAAAACATTCGTAATCAGTTCTACAAATTCATGGACGCCGTGGAGGCGTCTGCAGCACACGAACAGCGCAAGAAGGAGTTTGAAATGAGCTTTGTGATCAATCAGTGTGACCAGAACCTGTACACACTTTATGGTGCGGTGATGGGCGAATCAAAGATCTTCAGCCAGCCCATTCTGGAGGTGTACATGAAGCATTCACAGGGTGACCAGCGCGTCATGGAAAACCTCTGCACGCGACTCACATACCTGTTCTGCATCGGCCTCATTGCTCTCATGAGTTATGCTGCCATCGTCGGAGATGATGAAGGAGCTCTGAGCATCGAGTGGGAAGAGAAAATGAAAGATGTGGCCAAGAAAATGTCAGAAGTGCTGAACACTTATGAGTGATTTTAGCCCGTGTGACTTTTCTTTCATGACTTTCTATCTTCTCTGTCTATTTTATCAGTCAATGTCCTAGCAAGTACTTAGAACATCCCGACTAATGCTCTCACAACCTCTCAAAACCTTAGTTACCCTCTGACAACATCCTAGGAACCACTCAGAAACCCCTAGCAATGGCCAAGCAACAACTCAGAAAACCTTAAGATCTATTCATCTGTCTATCTATCTATCTAGGCACCTAGCAACACCCTAGCATCCACACAGAACACATAGTAACTCCCTATCAACATCCTAGCAACCACCTATCAACCTGTTAACCCTATTCCTAACGTGTTCCTGCAAATATTTGCACTTGTGACACAAAAGTTATGATACTGTCATACAACAGTATTATTTTCTGACAGTGATGTTTTCATCTTTTTGTACAGTTTACTACACACACTCAAACTGAATCTGCCTAAGCCAAAGTCAAAATATTTTTTTTCTTTAATGCCAATTAATATTACAAATCTGTAATCCTAATAACTTGTATAGCCTTTAAAAACAATTCTGTAGATATACCTCTCTAGAATTACATTGCTATATATACATTGCTATATTCTTCTGGCATTGTCTTAAGTGACTTTGCAGAATTGTGAATAAAGATATGAGAAATACACACACTCTTCCTTTCATTTCAGTCAGCCACAGTGAGCAATAGTGTCAAAGTGAAGGGCACTGCGATTGTGCTTTAAATTGTGTTTTGAGGTTTTTGTCCAATATATGTGACAGTTAAATTAAATTAAAATTAAGCAGGTTGTGTAAATTTTTTTCGTAAATTTACTTTATTACATAAACATAATGAAATGCATTTATATAAACCTATCCTTCTATAAAAATATTTTTTTGTCATGAAAAAAGTTATACTGTATATAAATATATATATTTTATATGTGTGTGTGTGTGTGTAACTTATCCTGACATGCACTAGATGACCCAAATTACGTATATGATTTAGCTAATCTAGTTATTCTTCACTGTAAACACAGTCATTACGATTGAGATAATAATAATAGTAGCTTCATGCTAAAGAACAAGACCATGAATTATAGCTAGATTGTTGAAAGTCAAACATTATAAAATGTTCACTAAATAATTTTTTTCTTTTAAATATGCATGCAAGTCCTATAGTCCTATCGCTAAGAAATTTCAAGATTCCCTTGTGACTTTCCGTCAGACAACTCTTCATCCAAATCCTGATTAATAAGAGAAGCAGAGAAGTCAGATCCGTAATATAGTGCGGTCTGCCTCAAAATTGGTAGGTTGTGATCTTTTGATGACATTTATGTCTCACGGTTGCAGAGAAAAGGTCTAACAATTCTGAAATACCGTTCTGTCAGGACCACTATCGTCGAAATACGATTGACAATTAGCATACAGCTTGGTGGTATGGTTCTGTTCTGGGCGAGAACGCCATGCGCATCCATGCAGCCTAGCATGGATAAGAGCAGGGAGAGCAGCAATAACCCCCTATTGCAGATATCATTAATTCAAGATTTCAAAGTACAACATAATTCGAGAATTTATTCTGATTCAAGGGGAATCAGAATGCCAAATCCTGACTGGGCGTGAGGAGCTGGGGATGGAGGAGGGTAATTAGCTCCTGAGAAACGCGACAGCTGCTGATAATACTGAAGAGCTTATATATGTAGTGATAGACGTCATATTCATAGTAGACGTGGATCAGCTGAGAGTCAGCTGATGCGAGCTTGACTAACTTGACCTTCCAGAACTGACGCTACGATTAATATCTGTCCGGTCAGCTCTTTACCCCTCTTCAGGCAGACTATTCAGAGCAATTAAAACTAAAACCAGAATTTTTGAACAGCACTTATTGTTCATGCTCTAATTCCTCTGGTATTTATGCATCTATGTATTTAAGATATGATTGGATCAGTATTGCAGTGAGTATATGTTTCTGGCATGTTAAATGTTTGGCAACAGTTCTTCTAACCCTATAATTGATGGAGTGTGTGCACATTTTGATGGAAATAACATCACAACATTTATTTCCATCAAGAGGTGCATACATTTTTGGTCAAGATCTTGTATTAACAATGCAAGAGTCCAGCTCTATGTAAAGTCTCCTCCAGCACATCCCAAAGACTTTCAATGAATTTAAGCTCTGGACTCAGAGGAGCCAATTCATAATCTATGAGTGAAAATGATTCTTCATGCTCCTCCCAACCATTCTTTCACAATTTGAGCCTGATGAATCTTGACATTGTCATCCTGGAATATGGCCATGATGTGTCTTCCTATATGGTTGTTTAAGAAATGAAAAGCTACACACTCCATCAGTTAGGCTTAGAAGAACTGTTGCCAAACATAATAATCACTGCAATGATGATCCAAGACTCTTAAGCATTTGTCTATTTAAATCAGAACAGAGACTCTTTTTTTTTTTTTGGCTGGGCAGTGTATACGTACACTCACCTAAAGGAGGAACACCTGTTCAATTTCTCATTAATGCAATTATCTAATCAACCAATCACATGGCAGTTGCTTCAATGCATTTAGGGGTGTGGTCCTGGTCAAGACAATCTCCTGAACTCCAAACTGAATGTCAGAATGGGAAAGAAAGGTGATTTAAGCAATTTTGAGCGTGGCATGGTTGTTGGTGCCAGACTGAGTATTTCACAATCTGCTCAGTTACTGGGATTTTCACGCACAACCATTTCTAGGGTTTACAAAGAATGGTGTGAAAAGGGAAAAACATCCAGTATGCGGCAGTCCTGTGGGCGAAAATGCCTTGTTGATGCTAGAGGTCAGAGGAGAATGGGCCGACTGATTCAAGCTGATAGAAGAGCAACTTTGACTGAAATAACCACTCGTTACAACCGAGGTATGCAGCAAAGCATTTGTGAAGCCACAACACGCACAACCTTGAGGCGGATGAGCTACAACAGCAGAAGACCCCACCGGGTATCACTCATCTCCACTACAAATAGGAAAAAGAGGCTACAATTTGCAAGAGCTCACCAAAATTGGACAGTTAAAGACTGGAAAAATGTTGCCTGGTCTGATGAGTCTCGATTTCTGTTGAGACATTCAGATGGTAGAGTCAGAATTTGGCGTAAACAGAATGAGAACATGGATCCATCATGCCTTGTTACCACTGTGCAGGCTGGTGGTGGTGGTGGTGGTGTAATGGTGTGGGGGATGTTTTCTTGGCACACTTTAGGCCCCTTAGTGCCAATTGGGCATCGTTTAAATGCCACGGCCTACCTGAGCATTGTTTCTGACCATGTCCATCCCTTTATGACCTCCATGTACCCATCCTCTGATGGCTACTTCCAGCAGGATAATGCACCATGTCACAAAGCTCGAATCATTTCAAATTGGTTTCTTGAACATGACAATGAGTTCACTGTACTAAAGTGGCCCCCACAGTCACCAGATCTCAACCCAATAGAGCATCTTTGGGATGTGGTGGAACGGGAGCTTCGTGCCCTGGATGTGCATCCCACAAATCTCCATCAACTGCAAGATGCTATACTATCAATATGGGCCAACATTTCTAAAGAATGCTTTCAGCACCTTGTTGAATCAATGCCACGTAGAATTAAGGCAGATCTGAAGGCGAAAGGGGGTCAAACACAGTATTAGTATGGTGTTCCTAATAATCCTTTAGGTGAGTGTATGTATGCGTGTTGTTTTTCATTTTTATTTATGTCTTTATAGTGTCTCTTAGTGTATGCTATTATTGTTGATGAGCTCACCAGGAAAAAATTCTAGACAACTAAGGGCAATAAATAAATAAATAAATAAATAAATAGCCCTCAAGCTGGATATACGTGATTAAAAGAAATAAGAAAAAAGATAATAGGACAATGTGCCAAATGCAATATAAGAATAATGCATTACATTCACCGTCATTGTCCTTCATCGGAGTACCAGAGACCAGGGCAAGTTGTCAAAAAGTCTACATTTCTTTGTCAATTTCTACATTTCAAAAATCAATTGCATATAGGCTACATGCTTTTCTCTAGCAGTGGTTGTTTTCAAATACTAAGTACAAAACGGTCTGAAATTAAGACATTTTTGTAATGAATTAATTCTAATTGTAATTAATTCTGTTAATAAACCAAAAATTACAGTATCAACATATTCTATTTTATTATAGCTGTTGGATAAACAAGCTGCCAAACATAAAAGACACACTGAAATGCATTCAGAAAAAGATCCAAGGTAGACTTCAAACAGCTCTTCTCAAGGTCACATTTTATATGCATAATTTCGCACCGATGCTCTCATTCTCTCTTGCTTATACTCACTCACAATTGCTTCACTCACTCACAAACGTATATGTTGCTGCCTTATACATTGTAATTTTATATAGTGGAAACGTTGAAGTATTTCTCTAAAAACATTATTTTCAAAAACATTTACCCTAAAAAAAATTCCCTAAAGGAAAGTGACAACTAATACGTAAATATGATCGCCTATTAACTTAAATACATAATAAAAGTAAATATTTAAAACATTTCATTAAAAATTAGCTTCGTATAAAAATAGCATGCATAGGCTATATGGTCCATGAGCTGTCCATTATCACTGACTGAGGCATAATCTATTAAACACTCGAGTATCGTGATGGCTATAACAAAATGTAACACTGTGCAATAGTATAACTATATAAATACTTTACATTATATGCTATTAGATAGTCTGTAAAATACCTTCTTTTGGATATTGAGATACCAAAATCCCAAATCTGTGCACGTTCATGTCAATCCAGCAGCGCGTGAGATGTTGCGGACGACGCACAAGTAGGCTAATCTGCAATTAAACAGTCTCGTGAAAAAATTGATGTCTGAACCGGACATCAGAGATGCATCTGCAAACAAACTATAAAAATACACTGCTGTCAAATATGAGCCATTGATCCGACAGTTACCAACTGCTTTCCAAAACGACCCCAAACCTATGAGCGCACAACTCTCTCTCTCGCTCTCTGTCGCTCTCTCTCTCTCTCACACACACGCTCACTTACGCACATCTTTTCCACAGTGAGCATTTGATCACGACATTTTGCTTTAAAATCGAACCTGAAACTGTGGGAATAATTTGGAAACTTGGAGGTCTTTCCAGCAGCTCTTCATCCTGAGAGGCGTGAGAAACCTGTTTAAATATTTTTTTGCTATGATGATGATGATGTTATCTCAAGGATGCGCATAATTAAGACACATCCACGAGGCAGACTGCATTAGAGCTTTAGAGAGATTAGCAAGGTGTGTCTTGAACTCTGGATTCACAAATGTAACCTAAATGATTCATTTGAACAACATTATTTTAAAGTAATTTATATTTTTTTCAGTTGAACAGTTATTTATCTCTGATGCATGGTTGATTTTTAGTAATTTTAACTATTCAGGGGTTATGTCAGATTCAAACCATGAACCTTTTCTCATAATTCTATATGACTCTCCTCTGTATGTCACTGGTTTTAATTTATGATAACATAAATCCAAAATATCTGACAAAAGTAGTGATGCACATTTTAAATAGGCTACCTGTTATAGCCTAATTTCTGTTGCAGTGCACAGATGCACCATTTAACAAAAAAATAAAAAAATATATATAAATATAACAATTGACACAGCAAAGGATCCATGTCTTATGATGCCTTGTACCTTAGAAGAACGCTGAACAAAACAGTCATTTATCTTGGCACTTAAAAATGCACTCTTTACTTTGCAGAAAAACATGGCTATACACTGTACAAAAAAAAAGTTTTTTCACAGAAATATACTGTATTATTTTACAGATATTTTCTGTTTTTTTTAACATTACGTGTAAATGTCATTAAAATACAGAAAAAAACTTTTATTAAAAACATTAACCATAAAATAAAAGTAATAATCTGTAAATTCATATAAGGAGAAATTATATTTTTTTTACAGGATTATTCTTTTGTTTAATTGGCTTGAATGTTTGATTACATTAAATTCTATGTAAAAAGACAAAAAAAATCGCTTATTTAAAATTAAGACAACTATGTGTTTTTTTTACTGTGAAACCTTAAATTTAAGGTAAATACATGTAAAAAAACAATCGTAAAAAAACGGTAAAAAGTCTGGCAGCAAAGTTGCCAAACACTTACCGTCAAATTACAGTAAAAAACCTTAAGTTATTCTACGGAATAATTCTGTTTTTTAAAATACAGATATTTACTGTAAACATTTTCTGTATTTTTACAGTTCCACTGCTGTAGAATGAAAAGAAAATCTCATTAAAAAAATGTCTGTAGAACATTAAGCAAATGAATAAATCTGCATATAAACTGGAAATTATTGCAGGAATACCTTACAATTATACAATTAAAGAAGTCTTCTGTTTTTACACAGTATTCTTTGGTAAATTCATAACATTATCAATTACATCCACAAGAACTCCCCGTCAAAGTACAGATTTTTAGATGTAAAACACGTACTTTTCACATTAATGTATAGGTTTACTTTGAATAAACTTACTTTTATAGTAATTAAACGCAACTATCCAATATATCTACATACTTTCAATTCAAGGAGTTCACTTTATATAAACATTGTTTTATAGTAAATAAAAGCAACTATCCAATATATCTACATTACTTTACCATTAATGTATAGGGTTAGGGTTAGGTTAGCACCGCACACCTATCAAATACAGGGTAAATGTAAAACTTCCAAGTCCCCTGCCACCAATGCAGATATTTTTCAGAAACAAAGATAAACTTTGCTGGCCACATCAGCTTAAGATTCAACAAGTGCAGATACAAGAGTGATAGATAAAAAATATATACATAAAATAAAAATAAAAAACAGCTATAGGCTATACCTTTCATGCAGATATGCTGTAAATAAAAATTGACCATAATAATTACTGTGTGTTATACTACAGAAACAGATCTAAAAATATTGCCTTGAAAGATGGATGAATACAGTAGGAGATATCGTTGCACAGTGTAACTAAATATACAGTTATTGTACATGAAATAATTGAGCTTAAGTTTAATATAAAATTAAATCAAGAATAGTCAGTGATTGTTTATGCCTCCTATATCCAGTGTTTCTACTGTCAGGTACCACTGACTCAGTGTTTACAATTAGCAACAATTTCATAAGTGGCAGAGAAAATATTGAGTGGCAACATTTTCAGACCCCACCCCGTGCACTGTAGCTGCTGCTGTCTGGTGCTGCAGCCTCAAGTCTCGGATCATCATGCTTTGGGACAGTTTTTCCGCAAGACAACCGAGGCTCAAGAATGCTGGACACTAACCTCCTAATGCCTGTCTGCCTGTTGGTGTGAAAGGACTCTTGAATCTTGTGTTCTGATATGTCCTCTTTTGGCTTGGCTTTTAAAGGTGACATTGTCCTTTTTGTCTGTTTGAAATGCTGCCCTGACAGTGATTTTCTGACCATATACTATATTGACACGTATCTGCTTATTTGATAAGAAAATATGTGATTCAATTTAAAAGTAAAGGCTGTAAATCCACTTTAAAAACGTTGAAGCATTAAGACACAAAGTCAATCTATATTCAACAAAATTCAAGGCCCTCGCTGCAGTGAAATCATTAGGCCACTCCACAATTTTCTCGGTTGATGGGAACAAACCGCCACACTATGAATAAAGCTTTACAATGGGGTGCTATATATTTTTAATTTACAATAGGTGAGCAATGTGTGAAAGACAAGGAATTTATTCTGGGGCTCGAGTTCAACCAAGGCTCTTGTAGCATAAACTTGAGCTTTGGTAAACTGGGGGTGAAGGAATTGAAGACATTAAAATGGTTGAAACATTACACAACGTGTAAACAAACATCCTAATTGTTTTTCTAGTCTCTGTGCTTTAGATATCAAGAAAGTGCGCGCAGATTCAAATAATTGAATGTTGTACAATCATTGGACGAATCATACGCCAGAGGCAATCTCGACCAATGATATTGTTTGACTTTGGGAGGGGGATACGTCATAACTTAGAGAGCCTGGATAAAGTATGGAACATTTTCACGATATCGGCATTCAGCTTTCACTAAAGGTAGATTAATATACCCAGCCGGCACTTGACCGACCTTCAGCGTTGAAATATGATTGAAATAATGCCAGTCGTTGAAACAACGTTTAATGCTAAATGGTTGAAAAAGGTTAACAAAAACACTTTCTAAATCAACGTTTAATTTTTTACAAGATCTGTACGTTGAAACAACGTAATGTTTTCAACAACATACATAAATATCTGCCTTTTAACATATTATTATGATAATTCATTAGCATTTAATGATTTTTCTGATTTTCATAACAGTTCTTCAATGTATATGTTAAAATATAAGTATTATCATTAACAATAATAGTTTCACCCTCAACAGAGCAGTGCAGCAGAAACCTTTTGCTTTATGTGATTTTGTGTGAATTTACAATTTTGTATGCTTGCCAATTTTGTCTGCTTGCCTAACAGTTTACATTGCATTATTACATATTCATACACTGTCATGTCATTTGACCAATTAATTAAATAATAATACAGACTGCAACTCGCGCAAACTATTGCTATTGTTAATGGTTGTTTCTCCGTTTTACTTTGAGCATGATTGGTTAATCTGTCTGTCTTCCAGGAAACTGTCCAATGAGAATGTGCGCGGCTCTGCGCGCCTATTTTAAGTTTGAAAATACGTCCGTTACTCTCGGTTGGTGTGAGCAGCTGCTGTTTGCGGTGATTACTCGGTCAGACCTGGATTATTTTTTATCTGCCTGTTGAATTCTTAAATTCTGAGCGAATTTTAGTTGCTATGTCAATGAAGAACAAAAGCTGGAATATGAACAGAGGAAGGGGTCGTTGGCGATATCAGGTAAGAAAACATTTTTCAGTCCTTAACAGTCTAACGTTTAGGGACACGGGTAATTTAACTGTCATAGGCTTACTGCAACCTCATAAGATAAATAAGTTATCTCTGTGTGTGTTTTTGTACTGCTTCACTATTAACGTAGCGATATTAGCACGTATTTCAATGTGTTAGTACCATCTAACATTACTGTGTTTTGTTGTTGGTAAGTTAACATGAGAGGTAAAAAAGCGTGGGAATGAGTAAAGTGATAAAACCGTCATTTATTCGTTAGAAGTATGTTTACATAACCTCTTCAAACACTGATAACATATTGACAAGATATTTGTTTACTTTATTTTTTAGATCAAGCATTGGAATAAGGTGTTTATCGGGGGAGAACACCCAACAGAAAGACCCATTCACCAACTAACGTTACAGTAAGTCAATTTTACCCACGTACTGTTCGAAAACCTACACTGGGATAGTATTAAGTGTGATTTTCATACTGTTACTGATGGAAAGTCTGAGTAACTTTCTGTCCTTTTGTCTTTCTTCTGCTGAAGTGGCGCCCTGAAAGGGGAGATTCGATTCGTGTCACCTTCATCAGTCCTTTCTTTAATCACTGGAAACCATTAAGGGAAAGACCCTCAGATGCAGGTAAAATTATTTGATGGGGTTAGGGTTATTTGATTTTGGTGTACCAACTGGCATTTTGTGTGTGTGTGTGCTTCCCTTTCTATGATACACATTTCTGACGGGATTGCCATGCTTTGTGTATGTTTACATTTTTAATCATGTAACAACTAACAGTCTCAAAGATGACATTACTCAAAGATAACATTTTTACAATTTAAATAAATGTCATATACATTATATATATATATATATATATATATATATATATATATATATATATATATATATGTTTCCTCACAATGTCAAATGTGCTTGTTAAGTGCGGCAGCTTTTATACATTTTACAATTTTTAATATGCAAGTTAACATTATGTCGAGTCAGCAGGGCTAACGTTAAAACTCGCCGTTTGTTACATTATGTATTAACCTTATAAAAGTCTGTCTAGCTTTAGCAAATGTAACATTATGCTGGTCCTAATAAAGTTAAACCGTTATTAACTAGGGGTGGGACGATACAGGTACCTCACGATTCAATTCTGTGGCGATATGTGGTCCACGATATGATAATATCACGATTCGCGATATCTACGATATTCTGTAGTGTTTATTGATTAAACACTCTGAACAAATAAATGTTTGAACTGGCGTGTAGCCTCTTTATTCTCCGAACA